TTTAATGTAATCAAAATTATCCATTTTGCTTTTCTTAATGTTCTTTATCTCCTGTTTGGTCATGAATCCTTCTATTCTCCATAGATCTGATAGGTAAACTATTCCTTGCTCTCCCAGTTTGCTTATAATATCAGCCTTTATATCTAAATCATGAACCCATTTTGACTTTATTTTGGTATATGGTGTGAGATTTTGGTCTGTGCCTAGTTCCTGCCATACTCTTTTCCAGTTTTCCCAGTAGTTTTTTTCAAAGAATGGGTTCTTATCCCAGAAGCTGGGGTTTTTGGATTTATCGAATAATAGATTACTATTGTCATTGACCCCTGTGTCTTGCATATTTAACCTATTCCACTGATCCACCACTCTATTTCTTAGCCCGTACCAAACAGTTTTGATGATTACTGTTTTATAACACAATTTAAGATTTGGCATGGATAGGCTGCCTTCCCCTGCATTTCTTTTCATTAGTTCCCTTGATATTCTGGACCTTTTGTTCTTCCAAATGAATAGTTATTATTTTTTCTAACTCTATAAAATAATTTTTTGGTAGTTTGATTGGTATGGCACTGAATAAGTAAATTAGCTTAGGTAGAATTGTCATTTTTATTATATTAGCTCGCCCTGCCCATGAGCAACTGATGTTTTTAAAATTATTTAATCTGACTTTATTTGTGTGAAAAGTGTTTCATAATTGTGTTCATAGAGTTCCTGGGTTTGTTTCGGGGAGTAGACTCCTAAATATTTTATAATGTCTACAGCAAGCTTAAATGGAATTTCTCTTTCTATGTCTTGCTGTAGGGCTTTGTTGGTAAAATAGAGAAATGCTGATTATTTATGTGGGTTTATTTTACAGCCTGCAACTTTGCTAAAGTTGTTTATTATTTCAAGTAGTTTTTTACTTGATTCTCTAGGATTCTCTAAGTATAACATCATGTCATCTGCAAAGAGTGATAGCTTTGTTTCTTCTTTGCCTATTCTAATACCTTCAATTTCTTTTTCTTCTCTTATTGTTAAGCTAACATTTCCAGTATGATATTGAGTAACAGTGATGATAATGGACATCCTTGTTTCACCCCTGATCTTATTAGAAATGCTTCTAGCTTATCCCCATTACATATTAAGCTTGCTGAAGGTTTTAGATAAATGCTATTTATTATTTTAAGAAGATTCCATTTATACCTATGTTCTCTAGTGTTTTTAATAGGAGTGGGTGTTGTATTTTGTCAAAAGTTTTTTCTGCATCTATTGAGATGATCATGTGGTTTCTGTTAGTTTTGGTGTTCATATGATGAGTATACTGATAGTTTTCCTAATATTGAACCAGCCCTGCATTCCTGGTATAAATCCTACCTGGTCAGAGTGTATTTTTCTTGTGATAAGTTGCTGTAATCTATTTGCTAATATTTTGTTTAAAATTTTTGCATCAATATTCATTAGAGAAATTGGTCTATAATTTTATTTTTCTGTTTTGACTCTTCCTGATTTAAGCATCAGCACCATATTTGTGTCATAAAAAGAATTTGGCAAGACACCTTCTTCAACTATTTTCCCAAATAGTCTATATAGTATTGGAATTAATTGTTCTTTAAATGTTTGATAGAATTCACATGTAAATCCATCTGGTCTTGGAGATTTCTTCCTAGGGAGTTCATCAATGGCTTATTCAATTTCTTTTTCTGAGATGGGGTTATTTAAGTATTTTATTTCCTCTTCTGTTAATCTGGGCAATTTATATTTTTGTAAATATGTATCCATTTCACTAAGGTTGTCAAATTTGTTGGTATATAGTTGGGCAAAATAATTCCTAATTATTGTTTTAATTTCCTCTTCCTTGGTGGTAGCTTCACCCTTTTCATTCTTGATACTGGTAATTTGGTTTTCTTCTTTCTTTTTTTAATTAAATTAACTAAAGTTTATCTATTTTATTGTTTTTTTTCCCATAAAACCAGCTCTTAGTTTTATTAGTTCAATAGTTTTCTTAATTTCAATTTTATTAATTTTTCCTTTGGTTTTCAATATTTCTAATTTGGTGTTTAATTGAGGACTTTTAATTTGTTCTTTTTCTATTTTTTTTAGTTGTACACCCAATTTATTGATCTCCTCTTTTTCTATTTTATTTATGTAAGCATTTAGAGATATAAAACTTCCTCTAAGAACTGCTTTTGTTGCATCCCATAAGTTTTGGTATGTTGTCTCATTATTGTCATTCTCTTGAATGAAATTATTGATTGTTTCTATGATTTGTTGTTTGATCCAATCATTTTTTAGGATTAAATTATTTAGTTTCCAATTATTTTTTAGTCTATCTTTCCATGGCCATTTATTACATATAATTTTTGTTGCATCATGATCTGAAAAGGATGCATTTAATATTTCTGCCTTTCTGCTTTGGATTGTGAGGTTTTTATGCCCTAGTATGTGGTCAATTTTTGTGTATGTGCCATGTACAGCCAAGAAAAAAGTATATTCCTTTCTATCCCCATTCAATTTTCTGCAAAGGTCTATCATACCTAACTTTGCTAATGTTCTATTCACCTCCTTAACTTCTTTCTTGTTTATTTTGTGGTTACATTTATCTAGTTCAGAGAGGCGGAGGTTGACGTCCCCCACTACTATAGTTTTGCTGTTTATTTCTTCCTGTGACTCCCAGAACCTCTCATCTAAGAATCTGAATGTTATACCATTTGGTGCATATATGTTTAGTAATGACATCACTTCATTGTCTATGGTGCCTTTTAGCAGGATGTAGTTTCCTTCCTTATCTCTTTTGATAAGATCTATTTTTACTTCTGCTTTGTCTGAGATCAGGGTTGCTATCTCTGTTTTTTTTTACTTCAGCTGAAGCATAATATATTCTGCTCCAGCCTTTTACCTTTACCCTGTATGTGTCACTCTTTTTCAAATGTGTTTCCTGTAAACAACATATTGTAGGATTATGGTTTTTAATCCATTCTGCTATACATTTCCATTTTATGGGACAGTTCATCCCATTCACATTCACAGTTATTATTACTATCTGTGTCATTTTCTCCATCTTTTTGCCCCCCAGTTTATGCTTTTCTTTCTCCTTTCTCCTTCTCTCCCACTAGTGTTTTGCTTTTGACCACCACCTCCTTCAGTCCCACCTCCCTTCTATTATCCCTTTCCCTTTTCTTCCTCTTTACCCTTACTGCTTCTTCCCTCCCTTCTATCCCCCTCTCCCTTTTCTTTCCCCTTTTCCCTCCTACTGCCTATAGGGCAAATTAGATTTCTATACCTAACTGATTATGTTATTCCCTTCTTGAGCCAAATCTGATGAGACTAAGGTTCAAACAATGCTCATCCCCCTCCCTTCTTTCCCTCTACTCTAATAGGTTTTTGTGTCTTTTCCTGTAATGTAATTTACCCTTATCTGCCTCCTCCTTTCTCAGTACATTTTATTAGATCAGACTAATCTACTTACTTGGATCCATTTAACCCACTTGATTAGATTTTTTTTATCATTACATCAGAGTCAGTTTATAACCACCCCCTTTATGTATACCCCATTAACATGGTGTAATAACAATACAGTTCTCAAGAGTTGCAAGTGTCATCTTCCCTTGTAGGGATGTAAACAGTTAGACCATATTAACAACATATTGTATTTTTCTGTCCCATTTACCTTTTTATGCCTCTCTTGAAACTTGTACTTGAAGATCAAATTTTTTGTTGAGCTCTGGCCCTTTTATCAGGAATGTTTGGAAGTCCCGTATTTTCTTGAATATCCATCTCCTCCCCTGAAAATTCACACTCATTTTCACTGGGTGGTTGATCCTTGGCTGCAATCCCAGCTCCTTTGCCTCACGGAATGTTATGTTCCATGCCCTATGGTCTTTTAATGTAGAAGCTGCAAGGTCCTGTGCAATCCTGACTGTAGTTCCATGATATTTAAATTGTTTCTTTCTGGCTGCTTGCAGTATTTTCTCTTTAATCTGGTAATTTTGGAATTTAGCTTTATATTCCTTGGGGTTTTCAAATGGGGTCTTTTCAGGCAGGGAGCGGTGGATTCTTTCTATGGTTATTTTACCTTCTGGTTCTAGGACTTCAGGGCAGTTTTCCTTATGATTTTCTGAAAGACACTGTCCAGGCTCTTTCTTTCATCATGAATTTCAGGTAGGCCAATAATTTTTAAATTGTCTCTCCTGGATCGATTTTCCAGGGCAGTTGTTTTGCCCATGAGGTATTTTATGTTTTCATCTATTTTTTTCATTTTTTTGTTTCTGTTTGACTGATTCATGCTCTCTCATAGAGTCCTTAGCTTCCATTTGTTCAATTCTAACTTTTAACATGCTGTTTTCTTCTGTTGGATTTTGTACTGTCTTCTCCAATTGGCCAATTGTATTTTTAAGGGATTTGTATTCTTCAGTGTACTTTTTTTCCAATTGGCCAATTGTATTTTTTAAGGATTCCTCTACCTCTCTCATTTGACTTTTAAAATCCTTCTTGAGCTCTTCTAAGAAGGCTTTTTGGGTTTCAGACCAGTTCATATTTCCTTTTGATGTTGCAGATGTGGGTTTGTTGACAATGTTGTCCTCTTCAGAATTTCTGTCTTGATATTCACTCTTTTCGTAACCTGATTCTATTGTATGTTTCTTTTCACTTGTAGTGTTTCTTTATTCCCTGGCCTTTAAGGATATTAAGCTCTCCTGCTGGGGAGCAGAGGGCACTTACCCAAGCTTCTTGTGTTGGGAGCCTCAGTCTTGGTCACTGTTTTTGTGTGCTGGGGCCTCTTATGTTGTCAATTGGAGGCTGTAGAGTTCTGGCAGCTTACCTGGTGTTGGACTGGAATTGGCAAGGTTGGGACTTTGAGGCAAATCTAGGTTAATTATTATTATTAATAATTTCTAAGGCAGAGATAGACCTGTTTAAGAGGAGAGACTGTAAAGGAAAAGGCATTTGAGTTAGAGGTCTCCATGAAGGATTTCCAGTAAAGAAGGCAGAACCTTGAGTTTATTTGTTGGCACTAATCCTGGTACTGTTCAGAATATTCTTCTGCTCAGGATTTTCCTGACAGCCAATTTGACATCCTTGTTCCTCAGGCTGTAGATCAGAGGGTTCAGCATGGGCACCACAATGGTGTAGAACACAGAGGACACTTTCCCTTGGCTCATGGAGAGAAGAGAAGAAGGTTTGAGGTACATGAAAGCTCCAGACCCAAAAAAAAGAGAAACTGCAATTATGTGGGAGCTGCAAGTACTGAAAGCTTTGGACCTGCCCTCTGTGGAGTTGATATGGAGGATGCTGAAAAGTATTAAAGCATAAGAGATAAAGATGGTGACAGTGGGGACTCCAATGTCAATGCTCACAAAAATGAAAACAACCAACTCGTTGACATAGGTGCTGGTGCAGGAGAGCTCCAGGAGAGGAAGTATGTCACACATATAGTGATTGATGATGTTGTTGTTACAAAAGGACAGTCTCAGCATGCTTCCTGTGTGGGCCATGGCACCAGAAAACCCCATCACATAGGCACTAAATGCCAGCAGAGAGCAGACCTGATAGGACATAGTGATGTTGTAAAGCAATGGTTTACAGATAGCAACATAACGATCATATGCCATGGCTGACAGAAGGAAGGACTCTGAAATTACAAGGAAACAGAAGAAATAGAGCTGAGTCATGCACCCTGGATAGGAGATGATATTTTTCTCTGACACAAAATTCACAAGCATCTTAGGGATAATAGATGAGGAATAACAGAGATCTACAAAGGACAAATTGAAGAGGAAATAGTACATGGGGGTATGAAGATGAGAATTAAGACCAATCAAAATGATCAAGCCTAGGTTCCCCACCACAGTAACCACATAGATCCCAAGGAACAGGAAGAAGAGAGGGACCTGGAGCTCTGGTTGGTCTGTTAAACCAGCAAGGATAAACTCAGACACTGAGGTGTCATTTCCTGTTCCCATTCTCCCCATAGAAGAATCTGTGGAAACAGGAGAAAAAGAATCACATTAGAGGGTTGTCTAGTTCTCACTCACTCACTCTTGTCCATTGACAAGAAGGGAAATCAATCTTGGAACTGAGTTTTGATGGAGTCAGCTTGAATCAGCTCAACAGAACTGATTGTTAAAGTTACAATGTGAACATTAACACATCAGAAATGGGCAAGTGCTAGAAAGCTACTTGATTCATTTTTTGTTTATTGTCTAGACTTAGGAAAATGATGGTAAAAGTGTTAATAATGCCAATTAAACATTAAATTGTATCCTGTGTACTTTTTTTTTCAGAGAGCTGGTTGTTGAACTTACACCAGCTTACCACTGTTCAGAACCTATCCCCTTCTCCATTAGGTCTACTGTGGCTACCATCAAGATAACCAGTGACCTTAATTGTTCTCTGTAACAGGTTTTTTTTGCAGAAAAATTGTTTAAAAAAGGGGGGGGATGGGGAAGATAAGCCTGACTCCAGAATGAGACCTTAGGATACTAGATCACTAATCAAAGAAACAATGGTTCCCTTCCAATCTAGCTCCTGTTAAGTAGTGAGACTCTACCCAGAGCTCATCACCTCTCTTGTACTTGACTGTAGTAGAGTGGGGACCAAAAACTATGGCCCCATTTTGGAGAGAAGAAAACAGTATATTTGAGTTGCTCACTGAGCAAAACTACATGGAAATCAAAAAGGGAAACTTGAGTCGTCTCCATAGAAAGTCTTCAGATCTTGACCTAGCGTGACCCTTTAAATAACACCTTCTAACCAGCTCCTCTTGGCTTTTCTGAGTGTCCTAGGCTCCCACAGTATGGGTTTGGAAGGAGAAAGTAAAGGAGCTAGTCTGAAACTCACGTTACTTCTACCTGAAAATGTCAGCATTGGGCTTTTTTGAATTTTTACTCACAGAGTCCCAGAGTAGAAATGGTTTTGATGAGATTGATGGTGACAGAATATTATGTTCTGTTCCTGGATGAAGTTTCTAGACCATGGACCTCAGTCAAGCAGTTCTGGGAGAAATTCTGAGAGAATGGCCACAATTTCAGACTAGGCAAAGGCACAAAAGGTCCTCTCCAGCTTCAGGAAAAGAAACAAAACCAGTCATGTGGCTAGAACCAACAACTGATAGGATGCAAGGAAATTGAATTGGAGTATGGAGATCTCAGAACTTAAAAATGTACTAGCAGACGCTCCCCAAGGATATCCAGATTAAAGCAGAGGGAATAGAGATTACTGATAGTGTTTACACCCTGGACTGTTGAAGCTCTTTTGAGGTTTAAACTTGTACTCAAACTTTTTACTGAATGATGAGATTGCACATCCCCCAGTAAAGAAGAGGTGAAAGCATCCTTTGACCCCCTCCTCTTTTTTCTCCATAAGTTTATACCTGATTAAAAAAAAGTTCAATCCCTATAGGAGTTCCTTATACTTACTCCATTTTCAGTGAATTTCTCTGTGACTGTTGGAGGATAGAAAGTGACAGATAAAGGTTCTCTCTTAGCTGGGCTCCCAGGAGGATACCAAGAAGCATGTATACCCTACATTTACTGCTGTCAATATGGTAGAAAATCCAGGCCCAAAATGATTCTGCTCCTGCTCAGAGAAAAAAAAAAACCAATATTCTCCTCACTCACATTTAAACACACAGGTTTCTGATGGCTTCGAGAAGAGTTAGAATGTGTCTTTCCTCCATAGTTTTAGATCTTAACATTTCATCACACTACCACATAAATATTCAAAGCGAGGATGTAAATCCATTCCAGGAATGGTTGAGAGCAAGTCTTATCTACAGATCACACACCTGTTGCTCCTACCATATACTACCAATAAAATTTTTAAGAAACTTTCAAAGCTAATATTTAGGGAATTATAGAATTCCAGAGTCAGAAAGCTTTAGAAATCATCTCATCTAGCCACTCTTCATCGAATGAAGCCATTCAAAAATGTCTCCAGCAAGCGGTCATTCCAGATTCTGCTCAAAAACCTCCAGTGGTGAGGAGCTCATTACATAATAGACAAACTCATTCTATTTTTAGATGGCTGTAATCACAAGGAATTCTTTCCTTGTGAATGGAGCCAAAATCTATCTCTCTATAACTTCTACCCATTGTTCTGCCCTTTGATATCATACAAAATAAATTTAATTCCTTTTCCACATAGCTCCCCAAATTCTAATTAACTTGATTATGACTTACCTTTCTCTTCTCCCCTCTACTGTCCCTAAAAAAGACTTCTATTCTCAAAGCTAAATATTGCCTATTCCTTCAGCTAATATTCCTATGACATGGCTTTAAGTGACTTCTTTTGAACAAGCTGCAACTTGTTTAGATGATGCATTAACAAATTGACAAGAAAGCTACCTCTGATCAGCATAAACACCAATTCATATAGAATGGAATGGCAAACAGAGGTTTCTTTCAAGAGAATATAAATTCTAGGCCTTACGGTGTTGTGCATCTATAAAATGGTGCAGCTAGGTAGTACAGTGGATAATATGAGAGGTTTGTAGTCAGGAAGACCTGAGTTCAAATCTGACCTTAGCCCCTTACTAGCTGTGTGTTCCTAGGCAAGTCAATTAACTTATTGTTTGCCTTGGTTTCCTCATTTGTAGAACAGGGTAATAGTAACACCTACTTCCCAGAATTGTGGTGAGAATTAAATAAGATAATATTTGTAGAGCACTTAGCACAATGTCTGGCATATAGGAAGTGCTATATAAATGTTAACTATTATTATTATTAAGTTTGACATTACTAACAAGGCCTGTGGGAAGGATGGAACTTACTACCTTAAAAGAAAACTATAAAAGAAACTACTTTAAAAGAAAACTATATGAAAACTGTTTCCCCTGGTTTCCCATTTCTCCTGCTCAACTTGTTACATATCCTGGTTGTTATTGTGGTTTAATTTTATTTTTTGGAAACTTAATCATCAAAGCAAATAATTCAATATATAAAGAAGAAACAGAAGAGGATCATATAAGAAACTGAACTTCTATTACATGGTTTATTTCTTAAGAAGCATATATGCAGACATACAGATAAGTTATATTTAACAAAGTAATAACAAAACTACCCTATTTGTGTTTCTTTTATGTACTGTTTTGTTTTCTTCTGAGCATATTTAAACATATTTATTGATGCTCTTTTTTGCATATCTATCACTATGTAATAACCTACCATAACACTAAGTAAAAGCTCTCCTTTTCAAGAAATGTGTATAATCCAGCAAAAACAAATTAATACATCGGCCATTTCTGAGGATATATACCTTGTTAATATGTTACTAGTTACCTTTGTCTTCTAAGTAGGTACTAACTTCATCTATCTCCCTAACGCAGTTCAAAAGAAGGCAAAATATTCAAATATTGTTTAACTAGGGGAAGATCTTGTCTATAACACATGAATGTGTTTGTAGTCTATCACTTGCTTCCCTTGCAGCTACAAGTGATAAAGAATGCCTTGGCTAAGCAAGAACGTGCAGAATACTGAGTCACTTCTTCAGCATCACCAATGGATGATGCCAAGAGAGCACTATGGTACCCTACGGCAATAATAGGGAAGGATAAGGTGGTGATAGCTGTTACTTGCTTTGGAATGTATTAACTCTCCCTCAATGACAAAACTGGATTATATATTCTCTTCTCAAAGGGGAGTATTCCTATATGGAGACTGCCTTAGTCATTTATTCATTCAATCAATGTATATTTCATACCTTCAATGTGCAAAGCATGATGCTAGACATGAAGGTGATAGAAAGATGAATAATACACAATTCCTTTCCTCAAGGAATTTTCAGTAAAACAGAGAAGAAAATAAAAACAAGCGCAACACAACAATTAAGAATGATACTTCTATATTATATCCAAGATATATAGGAAATCAATTCAAATATATAAGAATAATAACTGTTCCCTAATAGATAAGGTCAACAGACATGAACAGACAGTTCTCAACTGAGGAACACAACCTATCAACAACATACACTGGTTGTTGCTCCAAGAATATATTTGGAGAGAAAAAAGTTCCAAATCACTAATAAAAGTACTGAAAAATTAAAACAACACTAAGGTTCTACATCCCACCAAATAGATTACAAAAAATTACAAAAGAGGAAAATGAACATCATTTGAAGGGTTGTGGAAGGACAGGCACATTAACTCATTGTTGGTGGAGCTGTGGATTGGTCCAACAGTTATCAAAAATAAATTGGAACTATGCCGCTAAATGTCACTAAACTGTATATATTCTTTGATCCAGCAATAATATTACTAAGCACACATACCAAAAGAGATGAAAGACAGAGAGTAATCAGTTATATGTACAAAAATATTTTAATGAAATTTTTTGTTGTAGCAAAAACCTGAAAACTAAGGGGGAGGGGAGAACGTGTCCATCAGTCCATCAGAACAAATTGTGGTTGAATGCAATAGAATGTTATTGTACCATAAGAAAAAACACATAGAAAAATTTGGAGAAACTTGTGATGACTTGTATGAACTGATGGAGAGTAAAATGAACAGAACCAGGAAGATAATTGATATAATAACCACAACACTTAGCACATCTAGTGCTTATCACACTATATGGAGCACAACACGTGCTTAATAAATGCTTGTTGACTACAACACTAAAAGAAAAACAACTTCAAAAAACTTAAAACTTGGATCAATGTTATGACTAATCATAACTCCAGAAGATCAATGATGAAGCATGCTTCCGACCTCTTGACAGAGAAGTGATGGACTAGAGATGCAGAAGACATACAGTTTTGGACATGACCATTACATAAATTCGTTTTTCTTGACTGTGCTTATTTGCCACAAAGGAGAAAGATTTTGGAGGAAGGGGGAGAACAGAGATGGGAAGAGATAGAATAGTGATAGTGGTGTCAAAAAATAAAGAAAAGAGTATTGATTAAACATAAAACCACAAAGAAGAAAACAAATTAGTTCCAAAGGGGACACAAGCAGGGCAATTCTATCACCACCCTGTTAAACTGAATATGTATTCTTTTCAAACAATTTTAAAACTTCACAGTTTCTTATACAATCCTCATTTTTCTCTTCTTTGTGAATCTAAATGGTTTTTTGTTGGGTACTAAATTCATAGAAAATAATTAAATTAAAAAGAGATGTTCTTTTTTGTGTATTACCATGGAAACTGAATTAACCATTTATACATATTATGAGGAATATTAAGCTAGTGGATTGGTGTAAGATATTTCATTCAATTTCAATAAGAGGCTGAAGCTATGCTGATTATTGGACTCAGAGTACAATCATATTAACATGGAAGGGTCATGGTTCATTACTAGGCAATTGGTGGGTAGAATGAGGAGCAAACAGAGGCATCAAGAGATGAAGAACAGTAATTTAATAGAACTGTTAGGTAGCTAGCACACAGTAACTAGAGCACTGGGGCCTAGAATCAAGAAGACCTGGGTTCAAATACAGCCTCAGATTCTTACCAGCTCTGTGACCCTGGGCAAGTCACTTAACTTCTGCCTACCTCAGTTTTCTCAACAGTAAAATGGGTATAATCTTATGTACGTCCCAGGATTGATGAGAGGATTAAATGAGATATTTTAAATTTATAAGAACAATAACTATTCTACAAGTTGTTAATGGTCAAAAGATATGAATAGGCAGGTTTCAAAAAAAGAGATCTAATTTATCCACAACCAAATGAGAAAAATGCTACAAATCACTAACAATTATAGAAATGCGAACTAAAGCAACTCTGAGGTTTTATCTCATAGCCATCAAATTTTCAAAGATGGAAGAAGGGAAAATGACAAATTTTAATAGGGTACTGGGAAAGAGGAAATAGGGTGCATTGATGCATTGTTGGTGCAGTTATGAATTGGTATAAACATTGTGGGAAACAATTTGGAACTATGCCCCAAAATCATTAAACTGTGATTTAGACCCAGTCATGCCATTATTAGGCTTACTCCCCAAAAGAGTTCAAAAGAAAGAGGAAAGAACCCATCCATCCAAAAATATTTATAACAGCTCTTTTTATAGTGAAAAATAATTAGAAACCAGGAAGGGAGAGAAGGGCGGGGTAGTGATCAACAGTAGGGGAACAACTGAACAATTTGTGGTATATAAATGCAATTAAATACAACTGTATTGAAAAAAGAGACCAATGGTCTTAGAGAAACCTGGGAAGACTTGTATGAATTGATGAGCAGGGAAGAAAACAGAACCAGGAGGACAAATATTGCAGTGACAACAACAGTGACAAACAGTCTTGAAAGACTGATCAATATGATGACCAACCATCACATCATTTCAAAGGAATGATGATGAAATATGCTACTCACCTACTGATAGAAAAGATGGACCCAAGGTACAAAATAAGAGATATCTTTTTACACAGACAGCGTGCACAACATTTTTCAGTTGAGGGAGGAAGTGGGAAGAAGAGAAAGTTATTTTTAACTGAAAATTCAAATTAAAGAAAATACATCATGAATCAATGAAGGAAGTATAATTCTGAAAAAAACAGATCATCATAGGAACTCTAAGTGTTGGAGAAATTCACATAGAGATGACAGTTGTAGAACCAGCACTTAGGTTGCTGGAACTCATTCAACATTATAAAGAATTTGTGACTGTCATTCCAAGTTCCTCCTTAATCACTAAGAATTAAAAGTTCCAACAGATTTTAAATGTATATGTTTGGTAAAACCATAAAAGACCTTTGGGACATTTGGGACTTATTGTCACTCCTGTACCTGATCTAATATCTTACTTTGTAAACCTAAGGTAAATCATATTGCCTTCAGAATCTCATAATCTGTTAACATAGAATAGTAAGAAACAAGTAATTATAATATAAATAAGATTAATGGAAAAGTGTATATAATTAAGCACTATAAGAGGGATTTCTTTTGGTCCTAGGATTCTTTCCCACATGAACCAAAAGTCAGTAAATTGAATGA